TTCCTGCTGCAGCAGGACTGCAGTGTTTGTTTTCTCAAATTCTGTTGATACTTTTAGTTTTATTACTCCCCCCCTCCTTAAATTGAAATAGGGTCCAGATCATGAAACTTGATCCAAGTTCGAAACATCAAGTAATTTTAGATTGTTCAAATGACAGTTTAGATCCATATCTGGAATTAAATCAGAAGACTTACTCAGCCTAGGAGCTCTGAGAGCAGAAAATGTTTAGTGCATTGTAATTAAAATCAATTTTTTCTAAGCTGGCTTGAGGCTATGCTTCATGTCCCTGCACTGTTATCTCTAAGGCACTGTTTTCCTGTTCTCAGCGGAAAAACACATTTCACTAGGCAAGAATGAAGCAATGACATGCAGCTTACATGACTGAATGGATTTTAGCTTCTGCCGTTCTGTTGTAGAATTGGAGAAGAGCTTCTTTCTCCTTTTGTTTCTGCAGAGAGAAAGATAAATAAATGAGAAATGCCTTTTCTCCTTCTTGCTTACAGATCTGGGATACCTGAGGCTGCCAATAAACACTTTGCTAGGAAAAAATCAGCCTAAAAATGCACAACAAAAGGGGACTGGAGGGAGAAGTCTGCTATTTGCCACTGGGCATGGCAGATACTCACACTCATACCATTTCTAACACCTCCCTTCCTACCTCCTACTCAACTCCTACAAGTTGGATGACAAGCATATCACAAATGTAGTTTTACTTGAGAAAGCATTTCCCTACTAAAACGGCAAAGAAAAACTCCTAAGCTGTTACAGAACTGTATTAGCCACCTAGCAGCCTAGAACATGCATTTGCCATCCATACAAGAAAAACAAACAACAAAAGCAAAAATATACTCTTCACATTTTTGGCTACTGCTGTGTTCACAATGCAGCTTCAACAAAGCTGTGTTGTAGGGTGAATGGGATTACAAGGCAAGACAGAACAGTAAGTACAGAGGCAGAAGGTACAAAAGACAATTAGAAAGGACTAATGAAAGAGGAAAGACAGGAAATGGTATTTCACACAAAGGGACAAAGTAGACCACATAAATCAAAAGGAAAAAAAAGCTGAGCTGTTTTGATTGTGTCATACATTCATTTAACACTGTGCCTTCAACAGCCTTCCACTGCACTTTCCCATGAGGTGTGGCTCTGACCTTCCTTGGAACTCAGGGTACTGTTTTTCCACTGATGTTTTTAAACAAAGGTACCTGAAATACCAATGGGTCATAACAAAAATAGTTTCTGACTTACACTTTCATATCCTTTGACCATCTTCTTTGCTTCAGCTGCCAAGACAGCTTTGGTCTTTGCACTAATCCCTTCTGGAGCCACCACAACCATTTTGCGTTGCTTTGCTGGAAGCTGGGAAAGCACATCTGATTTCAGCCGTCGGATCATGATGGACTCTTCCAGCAAAATTTTCAGTTCAGTTAAGTTGGATGATCCAGAGTAGTCCCAACCCCATGGCATCTGGGAAAGATCAAAACAGTTAAGATCAAACTTAGAAGAGATTCTTCTGGTCTGCAGGCAATTCAAGAGTGGAATAAACTTCCAGGGAAACTGGACAAGGCAAGAACATAATGGTCAGTAGGAAGAGAGATTTGACAAAAACGGCAGTAAGATAGAAGTCTACAAACTAACCCACCCAAAATGAGAAGGTAACTTGTAGACAGGAAAAGGGCAAGTTTATAAGTGCTCTGAGAGGTGCAAGGAAGAGGACTACACAGAATGGTAGGTACCTACCACAGCACTGTGCCCTGGTATTCATCCTCATACAGCAAAGGTATTTCTGCTCTCCACTTGCAGCTTTGGGCAGGGCTACAGAACTCACTGCAGTTCTGTGCACGCACATTTACTTCAGCTTCAAGCTGAAAGGGGCACAAAAATCTTCTCTAACAGCATGAGGACAAAGATGCTTAACCCAAAAGCTTTCACAGAGTTGTTACACTTATCTGACATGACTAGGAAATGCTAGGTCAAAATTGCCTGCTTTCTACTGTGACCTGTCTCTTGATCTGCTTCCTGACGTGCCCTGTTCCTGCCATTACCACATCTATCTCAGACTCAAGCAAACCATAAAAAAATTGTGGCCCAAAATATGTCACTCCAAGCATTGTCTGTTCAAAGCATCATCAGTTCAAAGCTCCTATGAACAAATTCTTCATTTACTCCTCCTTGAAGCACTTGTTTCCGAATCTGCCCTATCCTCCCAGATCCTGTGTGCAGACAATATATATCTGTTCAATTAATGTCAGCTCATCATTTTTACTAGTAACCCCACTGCTTCTTATTTTTTTCCATGAAAGAACAACTAAGCTGACTAACAGTAGTATCCAAATTGTTACATTCCTCAAAAGAAACATCTTTAAATAACTTTCTTTTGGACAGGAGACTAGTAAGGGTTTTATGCTGACTTAAAGGATAATGAGATACCTTTCTTCTGAAGTTTCACAAATAAGTATATGAAATACAGCTACAGTAATACTGCAAACCAAAGAGGAGGTGGGAAAGAAATCTTTCTCACAGCTCTAATTCCAAGTCTTACTGGCAGTGTTACCCAAAATAGCCAAAAATACAACCTCTGGTCTTGGAACAACAACCCACAGTAACCCTACATACACATACATACACCCTCATGAATTGCACATAGCAGAGATGTGAGGAGCCTCAGCACCAGCCCATCTGATCTCCTGCTCCGCTCTCATCGCACCACATTAAATAGATTTTAAGGCTAAAATAGATTTAGCCTTAAAAAAAATCTGTATTTCTTTTCTTTTCCTCCCCCAAGAAAAACCTTCTGCAACACAGAACTGGGAGTAAAATAGGAAAAAGCTCCCAAGTATTCACTACAGTGATACAAAGCCAGTTTGGGTCCTGAAGAGTTAAAACTTTGGCTCTCAACAACACACTGGTATACAGCTAGAGGTAATAAGCCCACCTGGATCTAAGCCAAGCCCTCAAAAAGCCAACATGGGTATTACTGCACTGCTTCCCCGAAACCAGGAATGCAATGCAGATACATCCCTCAGGTCTGTGAAAAGCTGGCTCGCGTCAAGCTGGGTTTATTAGCTTTAGGCACGCTGCATGAAAGCTGACTGTGCTGAGCTCCAGTCTCTGTGCCCCCCTCCTGCATTTCTTCAGGCTCCGTGGACCCAGCCGAGCAGATGTACAGAACCAAGACAGACCCACCTGGTGCTGCACTCTGCCCTCACCGCTCCGGGCACCGGTAGCTACAGAGCAGGGACCAACACTGACCAGGCTGCTCAGCAAGACTTGCTAAGGGTCCTGGACACTCTCCTCAGGCTACCTCGTTCCACTCATGCAGCCCATGTTTTTCCACTTTTCACTTCCATAAGGGGCAAGTGATACATACATTTTGTGTCCATTTCGCACAATTCATTTCAGAAGAGCAACATCATAACTGAAAGAACAAGGCACAGGCCAATATATTATCTACACTGTCCCATTAAAAAACATACACAGGCAGAACCCTACAGTATGTTCAGGTTACTGTATTTCTTTTATGGTGACTGCTGCTGGAACAATTTGCAAACACGGAAACATACTAGTTCTGTGCTGCACCTAGCTACTGATCAAAAAGATTATTGTTTTTTGAATTATTAAAATATAGTTTAGTATATCCTATTGTGGAAAACAAAAGAGAGAAAAAAAAAGGGACATGTATTTTGCCAAAATACACATCTGGCTTTCATCCATAACATTCCAGAGCAAATGCATCCAACTGTGATTTTCTTACCGAAGTGTTACAGCATCTTACATGAGTCAGGAAACTTATTACAGTGTTAGCAGAAGCTGCCAAACTCTTACAAATTCAGAGCATGTGCTCAGATAGAAATTATTTAATATTTGCCAACATCAACCAGTTTCGAAAATGAATTCACAGCATGTATTTTGGGAAACAGACTTGAGATCTTTTGTAAATAAGCAGGTGACATTTCATTTGCTGCATTTTTAAGAGTACAGATGTTGAGAGGTTGAATTACAAAATGCTAAACTTTTATTTTATATCATTTCTAATCATATCTGCCAGATATTTGCAATTTTCTGTCATAAAATCTATTATCTTCAAACAGAAAGTTGTCAGGTTTTAGTTTTAAGTTGAATAGTTCAGGTTTATCAATTTTTCTTTAATCTTATAATGCAAACAGATTTATTATTAATACCAAAACATTTTTAAATAGCACCGTTCACTCCAAAAGCCTTGCAAAACCTCTCTGGTTCTGTGCAATTCCATCCCCAGTTATAATGCTGCCACTTTCAGGACAGAAAGAACCACCTATTTAAGTAATGGCAGCAGAAGTACCACAACAGTTCTTCATAGAGGATGTAACTTCTAACACAATCTCTGGTTAGAGCTGCAAAAAGGAACATGAGTGACATACTACAGTCATGAGGGAACAACTACAATCATCGAAACACCTTTTAATTTCCTCATAGCTGAGTGGATCTATAGCAACCCAATATTCAGTAGTCCCATTTTTTCCTCTAATACTATCCATACCTCTTTATTTCCAGAAGCCCCACTTCTTCTTTAAATAACCAAATTCTTTCTAGGTTCAGTCTATCATTTACTGACATTAACTGTAGCAAAATGTCCCAGGTGAGCACTGAGAAGACCAGTGATGTTCAACTGTCTAGTAGAGGCAGGTCAAACTGAGAAACAAAATCGTACTAGAAACCCTGCAGAGGTTTTGAAAGGAAGCTGATACAGACTGTGACCTCCATGCTGAGTTTCAGTGTAGGCTGAAAACTCATTTACTCAGAATACACTGTTACAATCTGGATCATGCAAAACAATTTTATTTCTTTTATCCAACTGAACTTCTTACCTGAGGTCCATATGCCTCGTAATTGAAGCAACAGGTAGCCATGCAGAACTTTACCCCCAAAGGGTTTATGAAACTCCAAACTTATTTAGACTCACACAGTGCAATTTAACCTTCCTTTTTACTGCAGAAAACCAACAAGATTAAACTGCATCTCTTAATTTCCCTCTGGGAAGCATTCTGGACACTGCTCAGACAGGAATCTTTCAACGAAGATAATGAAGCTCAGCAGAAGACATGGCCCTCTCCCTCCATATGATTCCTACTATGGATGGAGAAAAAATACATTTATCCCCTGCCAGGAAATCAGTGCTTTGCTAGCATGAATGCTGTCATCTTCTGGAACCCAAGTTCTGTATCTGTAATTCTGCATGCTAAATGGCCTTATGGCATCAGCATATGAGTACCAAAGCCAAAGAACTGCTCATCTATCTTGCACATTTGGACATACATAGAACAGCTCTACACTAGCTATGAAAGTAAAAGTGGGCATTCAGATCTAGGAAAAAGGGGATTCGAGAACTTTATATGAAACTGCAATATGAATTTTCTTGATGGAAACTTGGCATATGTTAGCTACCCCAAAAAGAGAAAAGAAAACAAACACAAAAGCCCTACAAATAGCTATAACTATTTTTATGGCATACACTGATGATGTTCAGTGTATAAATACATAATACTTCTGAAAGTATTTTTGAGCATTTAAATGGTCATTTGATGTTTCCAAGCACTCTGCTGAAAGTTATTGCCCAGTCTTACAAAAACTGAGGCACAAGAAGTGAAATGGATTACTCAAGAAAGAAGAGCAAACAAGTTAATGCACTGCAGGTTCATGCTCACACTGCTAAGCCATTCTGTGCCACATGCTAACTGCTATGTGCTTGTCCTGGAGGAACTGGAGGACAAGCCAGATTAGAGGGCTCTTGTTCCAAATCTTTGGTTCCCCTTTTTGTGTTTACGCAACCAACAGAGAAGATCCCCAGAGCCTCCTTGTACAATAGGCAGCAGTATGAGTCCTTAACTTAGCAGTGTGTGTTCCAACACACGCAGCAGCCCTAGAGATGGCAAATCCAAGCACAGCCGAGTTGCCCAGAGCAAGGCAGACCCCTACCATCATGGCTGTAAGTGATGGCTTCCTGCAAAGCCAAGATCTTGCAGTGGTTGCACTCAATGACTCTGCTGAAACCACTGCTGAGCAGCTGGCAGAGATAACAGAAGTTAATTTATTTTAAAAATATGCTGAGGACCACATCCATTTCCTGAATTAGAAGAGGGTGGAATAAAAAGACTGATTAAAAGTCTTAATTTTTTACTTACCTGGAAGTATAAAATCCAAAATCCCAAGCAACAGAGGCCTTACTTTGTTAAACAGTCACTAAAGCAGACTATAAACTTTGTTTGTTTGTTCTGGTTTTTGGGTTTTTTTTTAAATCAATTAGCCCAAACCTGCAGCTGCTTAAAGGCCCCATAGTTGCTCTGCCCATTTAAAACACTCTGAGGGCAAGTTCTTATTAGAATAGGCTCCTTTTCCCAGCTACGGTCAATTTTTTTTTTTAAACTTTTTATTTCCATGGCTTTCAGGGCAGATTTTGACAAGTATTACTGCCTCCATGTCTCAGGCCCACCATAGCAGCACCCAGAGCTTCTCAGGTTGAGAGCTTTCAAAACGTTACTCTGGAGTGAGACTTGATCAAAAAAGATGTAATATTAGACAGAAGGAAGGAAAGAAAAAGCCTGCACATTGTGAAACAAAATGCAGAGTCCCAATCTGTCACTTCCCCCTCTGAAGTACCTTCCTGGCATCACAGTAGCGTAGCCCAAAGGAGTGGAACTGAGGGAAGAAGGTTGGCTGGACAGCTGCAATCTGTGTGTAGAGCTCTGCAGGTCGTGACATGGCAGGGGTTCCCGAAAGCAAGATCACCCTCCTGGCAGCCTGGGAAAGCAAAATGGAGCATCATTATCATACAGCTTACAATATAAGCAGAACCTCCTAAGAAGCCATCCTCCGTTCTGAAAGAAAATCCAGAGCCATTGTACAAGCACCCGAAATGGAAGAGGAGTACACCTCACTGCCTAATGACACTCAAGCACAGTGCTTAGAACTTCTAGGAAGCAGGACAAACCATATTGTTTCTTATTCATCAGCCACATGCTGTAAGGGAAGGGGACATCAATTTTTATGACAGTACTTTCGGAATTGGCATTTACCCACTAGACACGTTAATATCTTATGCCTGGCTCAACATTTCATTTGGCATCAGACGTCACAGGAAAATGACGCACCCTCTCACATACATCCTCACCTCCAAAATAAATTCTCTTGTAATAAACCTGCCACAGCAAGCCATAAACAAACTGTCCTCCTCACAAAAGGAGAGGAGATCCAGAGAAGCAGGAATTTTTTCTTAGTTTTTGCTCATTTTTTTTCTTTCTAAATTCTGCTAGCAAGGAGAGAAAGATGAAGCTGCCTGAAGCAGGACCAGAAGAAGCCCAGCTAACAGCCACGGTGAGTCTAGGCACAGCTGGCTGGATGCTAGAACATGAGTTTATAAATACAAATCATGTAAGAAGATTGTAAAATGTATTGTAGGGGAAACAGGAAGGGGATGGGAAACCTGTATTTAAAGTAGGTGCTCCCAAAAAGTGGGGAAAAAAATTACACTATAGACATAAAAGCCTCCAAGATGCATTTCTACCCTCATACCTCCATTATTACCTAATTCTATTATTAGATGAGAGCTATGAATTTCTACTGCTGTAAATTCACATATAGTAGTTAAATTACAAATGCCTTGTAATTTCCTGCATGGTTTAACGCAAGTTCATTAAAATAACAAAGAGATTCTTGAGTGACATCTGTACCAACAGCTCATTCACATTTAAATGAAAAAGAAATTAAATTCTTTTATCATTTCACTGAGATCTACCAGTCACCCAAATCTTTTCAGCTGATTCATCCACTCGCCAACCAAATCTGGTGGAAAAAGAGTTCACAGATCAGCTACCGGAAATTAACTTCAGGACTCTTTATCAGGTATTTATACACAGGTTGTAATCAAGGTGGGACTTGCCTCCTCCCTCCATCCCTATTAAACCGATCAGAAGGAAATGTGATCGCCACCAGGATCAGACAATTCCCATAAACATTTTAAAAAGCAGGATATTTATTGAACTAAGAGGAGAAGTCAAATCTTTGGACATGTTGGAAGGTGAGAGTTAGTTTGCACAAGGCAGAGGTGCCTATGCTACTCAGAAGATACAGGAGGCCAAAGATACCAGATCCCATGAGGGAACAAAGTGACAAAGCAGAAGTTAGGTCAGTTTTTAAAATTAAGATAACAATGGAGGACAACTGAGCAGAACCTAGACAATATCTGATCCCTTGCAGAAGCCTTCAAGGAATAAACTGACACCACTCAGAAATCTGCTGAAATGCAAGACAAGCCAGTCCTACACGTGCAAGAAACCTCCAAACTAAACTCTTTCCTCGTGGACTAACAGAAAGTCACTTCTAGGAAAAAGACAACATGGAGGTCACGGAATTACAGACAGCTCACTTCAAATAACTCTGGATCAAGCTAAAGCAAGAAAAGTTCACTCAAAACAGACCAGGGCCATATTAAATGCAACATAAACCCAACTGTGTTGAAAGGTTTTATGCCACTCTCAAGGCTCCTTCTCTTCGGAGGGTGCTCCCCAGCAGCTGCATTGGAACACTAATTCCTCAGTAGTCAAAACAATTAGTCAGGCTCCTTCCCCGATCTCTAAATAGGTATCAAAAAAGAGAATGAGGAAGTTACAGGTTATTTGAACACTAAACTTGTCCAGCTCCTGCTTTTCTGTGCACAATTTAATTTTGAACAAATAAACTATCTAACCACTGCAAGTATTTACCAAGGGCTGTGATATATCTTCTATAATTAACCATTTCAAACAAATTGAGAAATAAAAAGCAATGATGGAAAAAAAAAAATATATCAAAAAACTCAAGACACTAGCTCCACAAGAGCTGTGAAGAACTTGAATAAATTAATTCCAGAAAATTGTGTGGAACATAGCGGTCTAATTCATAATTCCAAGGGTCCCTTTCACTTTTAAAGTCCACGACAGAGGAGCCCAAGAGAGCAAAGAAGAAAAATAAAAATCCTAGGAAGACAAGTTTCTGAGGGCTGAAGGCTTACTCCAGTTCTCGATGAAATAAATGGGTTTGATTCACATCTCTTTTTCTAGTGGCAACTCATTTTGAACAGATGCCAATGAAGATTTGCTCCTGCAGA